GCCGCCGCCGCCGTTCCCGCCGTTCCCGGCCAAGGCCGCCCTGCACATCCGGAAGAATGCCATCACGGACGACTACAAGGTCACCACGCAAGTGCTGGGGCTCGGCATCAACGGCAAAGTTCTGGAGATCTTCAGCAAGAAGAGCGGCGAGAAGTTCGCCCTCAAGGTGCGCGCGGCCCGGGGGAGCGGGCGGAACCGCCGCCCCGGCGGCAGCCTCAACTTGTTGTTTTCCCTTCTTTCTTTTTTTTTTTTTTTTAAATTTTCCTTTTTATTGTTTTTCCTCCTAATTTCTTTACTCTTTATTTTTCTTTCTTTCTCTCTCTTTTTTTTTAACCCTTTGTTTTTCTTTCTTTTTTCCCTCTTCTCTTTCGCGCGTGCGGGGGGAGGGCCGCGGAAGGGGGAAGGAGCCGCGCGGCAGCAACAGTTCCTGCCTGACAGTGATGGACCGGCCGCGCTGCCCCCGCCCCGGCTCCCCGCGCGGGGACGGCGCCCCCGGCGCTGTGTGCGGGCCGCGGGCCGCCCCGTCGGGGCCGCTCCCGGCGCGGGAGCATCGGGCGGCGCTTTGTGCATCTGCCGGGGGGGTCCGAGCAGGGGGGGAGCCCGCGAGGTCCGGCCCGCGCTGCTTTCCCTGGCTTTGTTGGGAATTCCCTGGCTTTGTTGGGAATACGCTTGGACATGAGCGACGGAGACTTAGCGGCTCCCCAGGGAGCTTCCCGAGGAAGGTGGGCGCGGGTCCCCCGCGGAGAGGGCCCGGGGGCAGCTGGAGCGGTGACGCGGCGCGCGGTGCCCGGGGACGCGCCGTCTGTGCCAGGCGAGCGGCGCGTTCCCTGTGTCGGATGCAATTTGCTCCCACACATTAGCTGTTCAGAGCCGAGGCGTTTGCTTGTGGGTTGGGAAGATTGGGGGAAAAAAAAAAAAAAAAAGGAAAAAAAAGAAGAAAACACACAAATCCAGACCCAGAAGTGCTCTGCCTGCAGGGCAGGCTGCTGGTACCCGGGCTGCCCAGCTGGAATGAATGGAGACGCGCATCTCTGGCACATGGATCGGGATGGAGGGAAAGTGGGACAGGTGCAGGGTGGTGGGGACTGTGCCCTGCTATAGAGGGGCTTCCTCCGCTCACTGCTCCAAGTTTGGCTTTTCCTTCCTAAATGCATCTGTTTGCCATTAGCTGCACCCTGGTAGACTCACGGCATGTATTATTATAGCATTTTGTTTTGGTTTGAAATGGGTGAAATCAGCCTCTGCTTTGGCAGACGTGCCCTTCTTCCTCAGCCTGCCATCGACTCAAATATTCGGACTGTGGATGATTCGAATGTCCCCCTTAAAATAATAAATGGCAAGGATGGCAACAGGAGCGGCAGGGGAGGGGGATACCCGGTGGGAAGAGGCTTTTTCCATCAAAACGCTGGTGGGGACGGTTGGAGCAGGGTTCGTGCTGTTGCGTGGCATTGTAGAGCGTGGCGCGGAGGATGCGGTCGGGATTTAGCGTCACAGTGATTTGTGTTATTGCTGTGGCGCGCTGCAATGTGCTTGATGACACAGGATTTCACACTGCCGTGCAGAATATCTGATATTTGAGGCATATTTAATGCTGGATCTCTGTTCTTCAGCTGCACACACTCACGACCCATTATCCCTCCAGAGACCAAAGCACCCAGCGCGTTGACTCCAGGCCCTCCCTGCTCCGCGGGCCGGGGAGCGTCTCCGTTAGATGCTGCTGGAGCGGCGGGGAGCAGATCCACATTACTCATAGGCTGCACGGGTGCGAAAGGATGACCTAAAGTAGGATATACCGAAGCGATTGCATCAAGTCGTCGGCTTGCAGATGATGTTTAAAAGAATTCTGGTGGCCCAGAGCCAGGAGCCGCGGCTGAAATTTCTCAATGTCGTCTGCGTTGCTTGTACGGAAAACCTTTCCATTTGCAAGGCTGCTCTGTGCTCTCGGTTCCAGAAGGCCATGTGTTAATGCAGGCTCCCACGGAAGGGGAAGCAACTGTGCCTTTCGTTAGGGTTAACGGTGTCCTCTGGTTGTGTTTGAGTTTCCTCTTGGATCTTGTGCAACTGTTGCAGGGTTTGAGTCTGGAGGCCGCGTTCAGCAGTGACAGAGACTGATGCAGCCGCGTCTCTCCTCTCTCTATGGGGGGATTCCACGGTGGAGGAGGCACCTAAAATAAGGCTGCGTGTGATGGTGGCTTTTGGGACGCCCTAGCTAGGTAAAAACAGGAGACAGACTCTTGTCATAGATTGTGAGTGTTTGTATTGCTGATTTCCCATTTGGGGTATTTTTCAGAAGATTAGGTTTTCTTCTCAAGTGTGGAATCCATAAATTACATTTGTTCCCCCATGAGCCAACCCACTGTCCGGGCTTCGATCACCAGCACCTAGGCCTACCTGCTGGCAGCAGTTAAATTCCCAGTGTCTGGAGCCTATGGAAGCCGCGGTGACACCCGAGGTCTGCGCAGCCCCATGTCCCCTTCCTCCTCGCACCTTGGTGTGATTTATTAATAGATAAAATTAGGCCTGTAATTTCTGTGAGCCCTGTGTATGTAGGTCAGGGCGGACTTTGCTTGCCCGGCTTTGCTGCACTCGGGCTCTTGGCATTAAGTGACGCAGGGCGCGATGGTGGCATGGGCAGCGGGGCCGCGTGCTGCGAATTCCGCTCCTAAGACGGCTAATCTTTAGGCAAAATACCGGCTTTGTGATTCGTTTCCTTAGCTCGGTGTTTTGTAGGGAAATTGCAGGTCACCCAGCTCGGAGGGGATGGAGCAGGTGACAGTGGTGGCATTTTCCTTTTTCCATCGTATGTGTCACCTGATGGCCCTTTCGATGGGGCAAGGCTGGTTTGGAAATGAGTTCACAAAACCCAACAAGCAGCCAAACGTTAAAGCAGAAAAGCCCCGTCCTGCCCTTCGAGTGGGAGAGCAGAGCAGCCTCTGGAGCCGTCGCGGTGGGGATGCTCCGCGCTTTGCCCGCGGCGAGCGGCCCTTTGAGGAGCACGCTCCTGTTCTGGAGCCGAGCACCAACGCGGAGATGCTTTCAGAGAGGCTCGGTGTCGTGCGTAATTTGTCTGCCCGCCCTTGCTCCGTAGAACTGGGGGATATTGAGGCCCCTGGAGCTTGGCGAGCTGCTTTCAGCTCTGCTGCGTGAGCATGGTCAGCCGCAGGGCTCGGCGAGGCCGGCTCCGTCCGCGGGAGGTGGGACACGCTCCGTGCCGAGGTGGCGGGAGCCTGCGCTGCCGGAGACCGGCAGCTTTCAGAGGTGCTCCGAGGAGCAAAGCCGCCCCTTTGCCAGTCTCCGGCCATTTCATCCGAGAGGAAATGCAGTGCCCTTCAGAAGTAAATCCAAAATAACCCCTAAATGATGGAGTATCTGGAGATCCGGGGCTGCTACCCATGGGAAACGGACCTCACTACCCGCTGTACCCTGGTGCCCGCTCTGCTTCTACTCCTCTGTCTCTAGTGGTTTTCTTTCTCTCCTATTTTTTATTAACTCTGCCATGTGTTTTATTTAACCAAAAATGTCTTCTCTACGGCTATTGGTGCAACTCCTAGTCGGAAAGCTATGGAAAGTGTAGTGACATCACGGGGACTTTTCCAAGGCAGTGGCTTATTATCTCATTGACCAAACGGGCTTACTGGTTTGGATTGTGAGTTTGTTTAAACAATTGGGGATTTGCATAAACCCTTTTAAATATATTACGCAGTCTGAGCAGTCCAATCTACTGCTGATATACCCTGATAAGAGCCTGGGGCTGGCTCTCGCTTTGGCACTCGCACAGGAGAGGGACGGGTGCTTCTACCCGGGATGCTGGTTCCAGTGCTCCAAGACGGGCTCCTCCGGGAGCACCCTGTGCACTGAGATGCTGCGTGGTGACTTTCTCCTCCGGCTTGTGCCCCCCGGGACCTGGGGAACATCTCCCCGTCCTCCACCAAGTGCTCGGCACCTCCAGTGATGAGAAAGTCTTTGCGGTTGAACTTTGGTGGCTGAAGTTGCTATTTTGGGTCTTGACCGCTGGCTTTTTGAAGTGCTGCAGGCCCCTTGTCCTGCAGCCTCCTCAGCTCTGTGTCCCATGGGCTAAAGCATCTAAAACCATCCAAAACGCCTCCTGTTCCCCGTCCCTGGCTGTGTTCTGTATCCGCGGGGATGTGCCGTGGCCGCGCTCCCAGTGGGAACGGCCCGGGTGCGCTTTGCCGTGGGAGCAGTTGGGATCAGCGCGCAGGGGTCGGAGCAGGAGGCACAGAGGGAGCCTGGATGCGGGTGGCCCTAGGGGCGCCTCCCGCGCCTCCTCGCATCCTGCTCCATTGCTTCCCAGATTTCGGCCTCTTCGGATCTCCCCCATTTGGGACAGGGGCTGTCGTGCACCAGCGTGCAGCTGTTGGCAGGTCCCTGCGAACCGAGGGGACCCGAATGCAAATTTTGCTGGAGAGGCCGTGCACCAGGATGACATCGTTGGGGAGGGAGCAACAGCTGCAGGAGCAGCGCGGTGGGGATGGGGATGGGAGCAGGACTGCGCTCCGGAGGCCGTTGGAAGCCGCGGGATCCCCACGGGAGAGGCAGGCGAGCGGGCGGCTCCGGCTGCCCGAGCCCGGTGTTCGCCCTCGTGTGTAATGAGATTATTTGAGCCGCTGGCGTCAGGGTCTGTGTGATCCCGCTGCAGATAAAGCTGCGAGCGCGGATCCCGGTGTCCCCAGGGCTCCGGGGCGATGCCTGTGCCCGGCCGGCGCTGCGGGCAGCGCGGGGATGCGCCCGACTTGCTCTTCCCGGTGAACTTGGCTGCTGCTTCTCGGGTGCCTGGGGTTGCAGCTCAGTGCCCTGGGCGCTGCCCCTGCGTTCGGCCTCTTCAGCCGTCCTGCAAGAGGAGCAGAAATAGGGCTTGGCATCGCGAGTGGCGGCTCCTGACGGGGCTGCCCGTCCACGTGATGCTCCCCAGGACCACGGTGGCACGTGGTGACGCGCTCGGGTCTGCAGCTCGGCTTTGCTGCCCCTGCAGCGCCCTTGGCACTGAGCTCGCGCCGCCTCTCGCGAGGCTGCTGGCGCATCCAGCCGAACGCGTTCAGGGAAATCGGGCTGGAATGAAAGCTGGGGCTGCTGTGGAAATTTGGCAGCGCGTCCCGGTGGCTGGAATTCCAGTAGCTGCGGATGGCGGTGGCCGGGAGCCCGCTCCGAGCGGCGCTCCCGGGATTCGGCCTCTCCCCGGTCATGCTGGGGGCTGAGTGCACGTGCTCGGAGCCAACGCGACCCTGTTTGCCCATCCTGCCCGTCGACTCGGGGCCCGGGGCGGCTGTTGCACGAGGCGCTGCCGCTCCTGCCGTTCCCTGGCTTGGGAGCCTCCCGGGAGCCTCCGGAGTGGAGGCTCCGGCCGCGTGGGGTGGGTAAGGCCAGAGGCTCAGGCAGCTCCTGCCACTGCTCCCGCCCCGATGTCCACGGAGCGACGTCACCCGCGGTGACGCAGCCGCCCTCGAGGCCACGAGCCGAACTGCGGGAAGGAGCCAGCGGTGGGACCGGTTCCTCCACCGGCTGCTCGGGGGACCTGCTCGCGTCGCGGTGGCCTCTGCCCCGTTTTGGCTGCTCTCTGCAGCTCAGCCGTCTCGCTCCCGCCAGCACCAGCGGTTTTGCCCAGCCCTGGCACCCAGACGTCCCTTTGGTCCCCACATCCATCCCGAGCCTGAACCACCCGAAGCAGGGGCGTCCCCGGGAAGGAGTGGGACGGCGCGTCCGGCCGGGCAGGGATGCCCCAGGGCTTTAGTGACTGAGCTCCCGAGCTCGAGAGCGTTTCCTGCATGAGCTCAGCAGGCGGAGGCCACCGGAGATGGGCCCTGGGTGCGTGCGTCCTGCGCCGCAGCCGCTTCCCGCAGCATGCCCGCTTGGAGAGACCATTTCCCAAGGCTCCGGTGCTCCCGCTGCACTGGGATGAGGATGGGCTGGTTGAAACAGATCTCTCTCATATCTGGTCTTAAATAGGAAGAGCAGCTTGGCACTGGAAGGTGGGAATAGCCAGGTGAGGGATAACGGGAGCAGCGGACACCAGGATTTCCCATGCTGCCTCCCAGCTTGCCCCATCCCTGTGTTTCCTGAGCAAACACGCATGGAAAGGGCAGAGCGCCGCGCGAGTGCGTGCCCTGCGTCAGCGGCCTTGGAGGCCGCCTAAACAAACACCCTCCCGGGCCTGGCATCCACGGCAGAAACACCCCCGGGGCTGCGTCCGCTGCCGGAGCCGCTGCGGGCGGCGCTGGGTCCCCGCGCGGTGCCTGCGCGCGGAGCGGGACGCACTGAGCCACGAGCAGAGCCTAGAGCAGAGCTAAGAGCAGACTCGCTAAGCTAAGAGCAGACAAAGAGCAGACTCGCTAAGCTAAGAGCAGAGCTAAGTCCCTGCACGCGGAGCGGGACGCACTGAGCCAGGGGCAGCACCGGGGCGCGCGGGCGGCTCCGTGCCCGGCCCTGCTCCGCAGGGAAGTGCAAAGTGCGGCGGTCGCTGCCGGGTTAATGGTTCACGGTGGTGTTTGCTCCTGTGCCGGGCGCCCCGGCGAAGGTGACGCGTTTCCCGTTGTAAAAGCGCTGTGGAAAACTCTGCGGTCCCCTGGCGAGGTCGGGGCCGGGGTTTTGCAGCCCCGTGCCCGGCACGGGCGAGCGCTGCACTCTGCTCTGCCCGTAGGATCAGCTGTTCCCCGCGCCGCGCTATAAATAACCGGTGACACAGCGGGCTGCCTGTTCCCTGCATTCCTTCCACTCTCCCCTCCGGTCGCGGCGCCGGCTCCCGGGGGCCTCCTGCTCCCAGCGCCTCTCTGGGCCCCATTGCCCTGCTCTAGGATCCTGGATTGGGGGTTTCACTGCGCCCAGATCACTTCTCCTCCCTCCCAAAGTGCTGCTCCAGGATCTGCACATGGGAATGTGCTGGGTATCGTCCTGGGCTTGTCCCCAGTGCAACCACCTGCAAGCCCGGGGCAAAACATCCCCTCTCGTCACTGAGCAGGCACCCAAGTGCCCCGTCTCCATGCGGAGCATCCTTGGATATCCCGGTGTTGTGCATGGCCCTGGGCAGATCCTTGCATTCCTTGTAGTCTGGACCCTGCTCTGCTCCTCATGCACAGCCCAGAGCCGCTGCCCTGGGAAGGGCCGGAGCGGGTGAGTCGCCCAGACGCAGCATTGCCTTTGATGCGCTCCCGGTGCAGAGCCTGGGATGATCCCACAACAGAGACTTGGAGCTGAATAGCCGCCTAATTTTGTTTTTCTCAGATATGCGAGGCTGAAACTGTTTATTTATCTTCCTTAGCTGCTGTCTCCTGCCGGCTGTTTGCACAGAGCTGTCACGATGAGTGAGTCAGGGGAGGCCGCTTCCTCCCGCCGCCTCCCCGCCGCCCTCACCTGCCCCGCGCTGCTTTTCTTTCTCATTTTTGGGCACGTTTTCCTCGCTCCGTCGTGCCGGCCGCCCGCGCCGTCCCCATCCGCCCTGCAGGATAAAGCCACATCCGTGCGGGACGCGGCCGCTCGCGTGCGCCGCGAGCCCCGTGCTCCGGAGCAGCCTCGCTCCTGGGCGCCCGGCAAGGGGCTGTGCTCCACTGCAGGCTCGGCGTGAGCTCGGGGCCTCCCTGCTTCCCTCTGGCCTCCACGGGGTCGTGTTTCAGCCGCCGCTGCCCTTGTCCCCTGGCCAGGGGACACTTTCGTAACGGGGGATCTGGTTTCCCCGGTGCCCGAGGCTGTTGAGCCGCGGGGCGAGGGATGGAGGAGCAGCGGCTGCTCTGGGGGGTTATTTGCAGCCCCCGCAGTTCATTAGAGACGCAATTAGGCTGCTCTAGGAGAGCCCTGAATAACCTCTGAAAACCAGGTGTGCGTTTTTGTTCTCCTGTTTGTCTTGCTCAAAATTACGCTAACAGCCGACTTCCTGCTGCCCAATTTTCCCAGCTGGTAATTACAATTTTTTTTTTCTTTTAAGCTTCCTGATTCTCCGCCCCCAGCCTGCTCGGAACAAAGCAGGCCGTAATAAACCTCCTGTGCAGATCCTGGCCCCACGCGCTGGGTGCTGGGTGCTAGGGACCCCCGGTCCCGGCAGCCTTTGCCGCAGCCTTTGCTGCAGCCTCTCCCGCGACTCCCTTTCGCTGCTCGGGTTTTTATGGCAGCAGAGCTTCCCGTTCGCTCCTCGTGCTGGCGGGGCTGCCCGAGGCGGGGAGTCTCCCCGGCCCGCTTCGCCCCTTTCCTGCAAGGTGTCTGCATTGCTCGTGGGCACCAGCATGGCACCCTGTGAGCACCATGGCACAGGGGGATAGAAGTGCTATTTTCTCCGCTCTCTCTTACTAAAATGGCCCCAAATGGTGTGTGCTGCCAGTGCCCGAGGTGGCACGGAGCAGGCAGCGGGATGCTCCGCGGGGAGCCGCCCAGGGCTCCCTCCTGGAGCAGGACGAGGAGCCGCGGGGCTTGGGCAGCGCCGGGAGCAGCGAGTCCCGGGGGCTGCGGCGGCAGCAAGGAAGCTGAAGGAGGCTCGAGAAAGACACGTTTGTCGCTCTATATTTAGGAGCGTAATCATTAAGGCAGTTTGTTTACCCTGACGAAGGTGGTAATTAATCGTCCGTGGCTGGCTGGCAGGTCCTGCCTGCGCCCGGGCGCCAGGAGATCTCCACGAGGTCGAGGGCCTTGTGGAAGAGCCGCCACCTGGAGCTGCTGTTTCAGGAGCATCGCGGGTGCCAGGCGGGCACCCGGGAGCTTTGTGGGCATCCCCTAGGGGCTGTGGTGGGGAGAGGCTTCTCTGGTGGCAGATACAGGGTTGATGCGCTGGAGGAGTGCACGGGGATGACAACACTGCCCGTGGTGGCCGGTGTCCGTGGCTCTGCGGGTCGCACTGGACAAGGGACACGCGTTCCTGGGACGCGTTAGGGGCAGGCGCCGTGCCCGGAGCGGGGCCTCCCACTTCCCGCGCGTCCCGCTAGATGGAGACGGAGCCGTGGCGGAGCGCGGCGTCCTCCCGCACGCTGATGCGCCCCTGCCTCTCGTGCAGATGCTGCAGGACTGCCCCAAAGCGCGCAGGGAGGTGGAGCTGCACTGGCGGGCGTCGCAGTGCGCGCACATCGTGCGCATCATGGACGTCTACGAGAACCTCTACCAGGGGAGGAAGTGTCTGCTCATCGTCATGGAGTGGTAAGTGCCGCCAAGGGAGGTGCTCCGGGCGCCTTCTCCGCTCTGGTGATGCGGGAAGGGGGTCTGCAAACTGCCCCTGTGCCGTGTCGCAGAGGCACTGGTGACCCCGGGAAGGCGCTCGGTGCAGCGGGGAAGTCTGCAGGGTGCGGGGAAGCGGCACCAGCGGGAATGTGGCATCCCGGTGCCCACAGGACAGGCTTCCCGAGCGCTGTGCGCTCCGAGTGGGGGCTCCGCTGCCTCGGAGTCATTCGGAGAACTTGCTCTGATGCTCGTAGGCTTCTGGCCCGTGGGTTTAAGGCAGATGGAGCACTTTGGCCGTGGCAAATACGGGTTGTCCCTGCCTTTGCCGAGGCCTGGCTGGCAGCAAGGACAGCTTCATGGACGTGCCGGGCAGGGCGCAGCGGCCGCTGAGCCACTCGCTGCTGGTAGATGTTTGATATAACACGGGGAGGAGGAGGAATGAAGGGGAAAGCCTTGAAACCACATCCCAACCGCAGCTGTGATTTAATGCAGCTTCCTTGCCCAAACCTGCCCCCGGCGAGGCGGTGGGGTGCCGGGGGGCTGCGGCGTGCGGAGCCGCGCGGGTGGAGCAGGGAGCCGCCACGCAGAGCGTGTCCTGCTGCTCCAGCCTCCGAGAAGGGCCCGAGCCCTTGGGGAGCAGGGAAGGCTCCTGCGGCCGCTCGGCTCGCGTGGGAGGAGAGCAGCGGCCGAGCGACAGGGCAGTGATCCCTGGGCAAGGAGAGCTCCGTGCGAGGCATCGCCTCCATAGCCCTCCACGTGCAAGGGCTCCCGGGCCCGCCTCTGAGGTCCCTTCACTGGGGTCTCCCTCCAAAACCCCCTGCTCTGACTTTCACGGGGATGCAGTCCCCGCATCACGCACTCGGGGCAGCATCAATCCTCGTGGATGTTCCCTACTGTATTGCAAATATTTGGCTACCGTCAAGGGCACTTGCATGAGGTGCTGTCTGGGGAAGCCAGAAACCATTTCTGGTTGAATTCGGTAAAACAGAGACTGGCTATCCCGGTTTCCACCAGTGGAGATCGTGGAGCTGGGGGTCCTTTGGGGGCCCTTGGCAGTAGAGGGAACCGAGCAGGTTTCTCCTGGTGCTTCCTCAGCCCGGGAGCTGGCTCTGCTCTTGGGGCAGCTTGGCTCATGCTTGGGAAGTCTCCCCACAACCCGGTTGTCACCAGCACGTGTCACCGCGCCAGCTGGGTTGATTTTGCTGATTTTGGTGTTCTCTGAGCTGGGGCATCTCCCTGCAGCCGTGGGTGCACAGCCCCCTTGCAGGAGAAGCTGCTGGGCTTGTGGGAGCAGATGTGAGGAGGGGAATCGGTGTCTAATGGTCTAATGCCTCTTGCCTCTGTGTTGCAGCCTGGATGGTGGGGAGCTTTTCAGCCGAATTCAGGATCGGGGAGACCAGGCCTTCACCGAACGGGGTATGGAGTCAATGCTCACTTAGGGCTTCATCTTTGGGCGGTTTCTTGCCATTCCGATTTCAATTCATAGAGCTAAACCAATTTAATCTCTGCTGCTGCTGTTTCTGTAAAGCCCCAAACCCAGCCCTCCTCCCTGTTAGTTTCCCAGCCTGCAGAGATGCTTTCTCCAACAGATTCAGGTCCCTGCCATCACCTGGGGATCGTTAAACCTCTCCCTATCCAGGAGCAAATCCTCGTGTCGGCTCCTGCTGTTTAGGGCTCAGGATCATGCCTGGAGCTTGCTTGGGCAGGGGGATATTGGGTAGGGGGAACCCTCTTGGCCTCAGCCACGTGTGGCCCTTCCCTTGGCCCCTGGTTCAAAGCGCCCTGGGCTGACCCAGGGAGAAGGGCTCGGTTGGAGTAACTGAATGTTAATGTTTCGGTGTTTTTCTTGTCACTTCAGAGGCCTCCGAGATCATGAAGAGCATCGGGGAAGCCATCCAGTATTTGCACTCCATCAACATCGCGCACCGGGATGTGAAGGTACCGCGTCGTGCGCTCCCGCTCCCAGCGGCACCGGCGCCTTTTGCTGCTCCCGCCTCTTATTTCTGCCTCCTTGTTCCTGATGTTTCCGCAGCCGGAAAACCTCTTGTACACCTCCAAAAGGCCCAACGCTGTGCTAAAGCTCACCGACTTCGGCTTTGCTAAAGAAACCACCACGCACAACTCGCTGGCCACGCCGTGCTACACGCCGTACTACGTGGGTGAGTCGCTGGGTGCCGGAGCGCTCCCGTTCCCTGGATGTGCCCTCTCCATGCTGATGCTGAGCGAGGGCTGGAGTGGGTGGGTACGGCCAGAAGCGGCTCTGAGCCCCTAGATGGGTCTTCTTGGAGCTGCTGTGTGCAATGAGGGCTGCTCCGAGCGGTGCTGGTGCCGCCCGGCTCCGGCCCCGCTGCCGGGAGGATGCTGGCTCCAGTGTCCCCGGCTGCACAAGGCTGATACCCAGGGATTTGCTTTGTTTCCACCAGCCCCAGAAGTGCTGGGCCCCGAGAAATACGACAAGTCCTGTGACATGTGGTCCCTGGGGGTCATCATGTACATCCTGTGAGTAGAGCGGGCCGGGACGCGCCGGGAGCGCCGCGGTGCCGGGAGCGCCGTGGTGCCGGGAGCGCCGTGGTGCCGAGCGCGCCGCGCAGGGAAGCGGCGCTTCCAGGCGTGCGGCAGGACAGAGCCGCCCGGGCTGCCCGCCCGCCGTGCCCTGCTCACTCCTGCCTTGCTCCCCCTGCCCAGGCTCTGCGGCTACCCCCCCTTCTACTCCAACCACGGTCTGGCCATTTCCCCGGGCATGAAGAAGCGCATCCGAATGGGCCAGTATGAATTTCCCAACCCCGAGTGGTCGGAAGTGTCGGAAGAAGGTGAGCGGGCACCGTGGCTCTTGTCCCTGCCCTGCCAGGACTCGGCTGCTCCCTGCCAGCCCCAGGGGACCTGGGGAGCGATGCCACTGTGGGGACAACTCGGCTGCTCCTGGCAGCAGCAGTTTTGTCCGAGGGGCTCTTGCTGGGGGCCGTTCCTGGGCTGGGACCTGCAGTGCCGGGGGGCGCATCCCGCGGTGCCGGGGGCGCATCCCGCATCCCCGCTCACGCCATCCCCGTGCCGCCTCTTGCAGTGAAGCAGCTGATCCGCAACCTGCTGAAGACGGACCCGACGCAGCGCATGACGATCACGGAGTTCATGAACCACCCCTGGATCATGGTGAGGGCCGGGGCCGGGGCGGGCGCGCGGGCCGCCCCGCTCCTCGCGCTCCTCACGCGCCCCGTCTCCCCGCAGCAATCGATGCAGGTGCCGCAGACGCCGCTGCACACGAGCCGCGTGCTCAAGGAGGAGAAGGACCTGTGGGAGGACGTGAAGGTGAAGCCTCTGCGCCGCGCGCTCGCTGCCCTCCTGCCTCTGCCCGGGGGCTTGGGGACCGTCCCCTCCTGCCGCCGTGTCCCGTGGGGTTGGGCTGTGGGTGAGACTTGGGCAAAACGGGCGACTGGAGGGTTGTGCTTGGGCTTAGCGGTGAGCGAATGGACCGGGTCACCCTGGAGTGGATTCAAGGGTGTAACGGAGCAGGGATGGAGGTGGTCCCTACCAGATTATCTCCAAAACTCCCGTTTTCTAGGGTAGCATGGGCAGGAAAAGCTGGCGGCAGCTCCGTGAGCTTCCCGCTGGCATTGGGACCCGTAGGGAGGTCCAAAGGCTGCGGGTGTCCCGCGTCCCGGCCCTTCTCCCCAGCCTGGTCCGGGCTCGTGGCCGCCGCTAACGGGTCGCTCCCGCCGCAGGAGGAGATGACGAGCGCGCTGGCCACCATGCGCGTGGACTACGAACAGATCAAGATCAAGAAGATCGAGGACTCGTCCAACCCTCTGCTCATGAAGAGGCGGAAGAAAGCGAACCCTGCGGAGCCCGCGGCGCTCCCGCACTGAGGCCGCCGCCAGCCCGCAGAAAGCAATAACTATATATATATATTTTTTAAGAAAAAGACAAAAAGAGACTTATATCAAGCGCATGGGATGCAGACATTTATACCAGACTAGTTATTTTTAGCTACTCACCTGTGTTTCTGACCTTTCTGGAGCAGGCGATGAGATGTCCCTGTAAGAGCCACACGCGTCACCCGGGGTTTGTCCCTGGGGATTGTTTGAATGAATGGCGCCCATAATTGTTTTTTTTTTTTCCTTTGTGAAACTTTATCCTTTTTTTTTTTTTTTTTTTTTTTCTCTTCCTTGCAAAGACATGGAAATTCCTGTGGTGACCTTTTTAGGGCATATGACGTATAAATGTGTTTTTTTTTTTTTTCTTTTAAAAACCAAACTGCTGTAGAGCTGCACGGCAGGTGACGCGGGGCCCGCAGTGGTGCAGGGCTGTCCCCGGGGTCCTGCTGCTCCCGCTAGCCGCAGGGCTGGCCTGGCGGGTCCCCACGGACGGCGCGTTTCCCTGCAAAGCTGCTGCGCTCGGAGCAGCAGGAGCTCCCGGAGCTGAGGCCGTCGCTGTGTGTCCGCTGGAGCCTGTCTGCACGCCGGGAATTTGGGGCTGAGCTCGGGGTGGCTGCAGGGAGGGAAGGGCTCGGTGTTGCCCCCGGGATGGGAGCAGCCGTGGGGAGACCCCGAGGCTGCTGCTCCCTGCCCCAAACTCATCCCGTCCTGCCCGCAGTGACGTGGGACAGACGTCTCCCCGTCCCTGTCCCCTTCCCATGCAAACCTCCCAGGGGTGCAGGGGCCCTCGGCCACTTGTCCCTCCCCGGGGGGGGTTTATCCCCCTGGGAAAAGTGGGCGCCGAGGGGCCGGGAACAGCCCGGAGCGGCGGAGCCCGAAGCCCGGGAAAGCGATTCCCGGCAGCAGAACCTGCAAGTCGTTAGTCCATGAGTCATTATCATTATTTGTCATTTTGTTTCACTGCTTTTAATGTGTTCGAATGGGGGATTATGACTTTTTTTTTTTTTAAGGAAATGTTTAGTTTTTAGGTGATCTTTTAGACACTGTATGGAGTATTAATTTGTTTTAAAAGCAGGTTTTTACTTTATTTTTTCTTTTTCTTTCTTTTTTTTTTCTTATCTGTTGGCTTATACTAATCTTCATGGTCTGCTCTTCAGTCCTTTGGATTAAAGACACTTAACGCGTCACCCCGTCTTGCTCCTCCTTGTTGCACCACGGTGCCCCTCTCCCCGTATGGCTCTAAATTGCCCGCTTTTCCCCCAAAGCGGCCGAGCGAAAGCAGTCTGTTCTGGGGGTTTCTGCATCCTGTGAGCGTGGTGAGCAGCAGTGTCGCAGCAGGGACCGGGCGTGCGGTGACAAGTGGCTTCCGTTGTCACGGGGCCAGCGCTGCGTCCCGGAGCCGGCAGGGGGAACCGGCACCGCGTTGCGCCGCGTTGCACCGGGCTGTGCCGTGTTGCACCCGGCTGCACCACGTTGCGCCAGGTTGCACTGTGTTGTGCCGGGTTGTGCCACGTTGCACCGCGTTGTGCCGGGATGTGCCGCGTTGCACCACGTTGTGCCGGGCTGTTCTGCACCAGCACTGCGGTTTGCCAGGGTGTTGGTGACACCTGAGGTGCCCTGTCCGCGTGCGGAGCGGGAGCCCACCCAGGCCTGGGCAGAACAAGCGTTTTGGATGAGCGGCGTCAGCCCCTGTTTGCTGCACAGTGTGGTCACAAAGGGAGAGTATCCGGCACCCCCAAAACCCCAGGGATGGGTCAGTGTTTTGTCCTGTTCTGCTGTTCTGCAGCCCCTCGGGCTGAGGGCTGTCGGGTTTGCTGGGCTGGCTCTGCTGCCTGCTCGGCCGTTGGGGTTTCTTCATCATCCCTGACTCGTTCTGGAGCCAGAGGAGCCAGCTGGGAGACCAGGAATAGCCCTCAGGAAGGATCCCCAGGGGGATTCCCTCCCGCCAGCACCATAAAACTGCTGGGAAAGCCGCTGGTTTGGAGCCGTGCCAGCTGCAAGCTCCGCTTTTCCCAAGGGGCTGCGCTGGGCGCTGGAGCGGTGCCCGTGGGACCCCCTCGTCCCCCCGGGCACCTTCACGTGGAGGCTGTGGAATCCGTGGGGGTGCCGCAAGGGCAGAGCAGGCGGAAAGGAGCACCGGCGGGAGGAGCCCCTGCTCCGGAGCGCGCTGGCCCAGCAGCGAGCTCGCTCCCGCGCGGAAGCGCCCGCCGCACAAACCCGCCGCACGCCGTGGTGTGAAGCCCGGGCGGGTTTTCCAAGGGCTCGGCCCTTGTGCAGCTTCGTCTTGGCGTTTTGGAAAGTGTTTTTTTATATATAGGTATATAAACAAATGTAATCCTAGTGAGAAAATCCCCCAGCTGGCTCGGGCGGATGGGGGAGCATCTCGAGGTTGCTGTTTCCACGGGGGTTATTACTGAAAGTGGTTCTGGAAATGACAGAGCTTGCCAGCGCGAATCTCGGCTGCAAATTGGGGTTTTGCAGCTCGAGACGTTTCCTTGGCCCCTCTGGGAGGGCCAGGGTGGAGAGTGGGGATCCTATGGGCACGGCAGAAGGATCCGCGTTGTTCTGCATGCCGGGAGAGGCTGCCAAACCCACGGATTAAGAGCAGCATCAGGGCAGCTTGCAGCCCTGCTGCCCCTGTGTGTGCTGTGCCCCTGGGAGAGCAGGGACGTGCAGCCCCGAGCAGCCACTGCACGGCAGGGAGCTGCGGCCCCGGCGCGCAGGGCTCTGTTTGTCACCGCTTTCGCAGGGGCCGCCGAGGTGGACGAAAACCGAGCGCTCTTTTCTGTGAAGCTGCCGATGCTAAAAGGAATCGCGGGGTCGGTGTGGGCGGTGGGTGAGAAGAGCGGTTTACTCATGCAGGGCAATATTCTCTTGCTTGGCGTTTGAAAGCAAGGTCTTCAGGCAGACGTGTTCAGCGAGTGCTGTAAAGAAAAGGCCTGGAGCGGGGAGGGAGGCTGCAAGATCTTGGACCTCCTGCAACCATCCAGGCGGTGCTCAAAGTGGTGGCCACGGTGCTCAGAGTGGTGGCCGTGATACCTGGGCTGGTGCAGGTCTAGGTCCTCACCTCAGCTGCATGATGCAGCTGGATCAGATGTTATTGTTTCATGAAGTAGTGCTGTTTCTTGCTGTTTCATAGAGGTGTTTCCACCTCCTTCGCTTTGACCCGGAGCTGCGGCTCTGACACTGCCCGTTATTGGAAAGCAGGAGGAGGTTTTCTGGGGCTGTTTCCTTCTCGCAGCTCTGGCTGGTAAAGAACAACAGCGCAAGCTCTGCACACCTGGACTGTGTCACCCGGTTCCTCCTGACCTCTGCTTGGCCTTACAAGAAGGCGCACGAGGCTGACTTCAAATGGAAGACCAAGATGAGAGACAAGATAAAGAGGAGCGAGATAAGCTTGTGAGAACATCTCTTGATAAGTCTGCTTTTTGAAAACGCCTCAAGCGTGACTGGAAAGCGGGACCACTCATGCAGGTGATGTAAGATAAGCACTTCATCCCACTCTCACACAGTTGGGGGCTCCTTTTCCCACCCCCTTGCTGCTAACCTCCTGCTTCATGAGCATGTTTGCAGCTGCAAATTAAAGAGCCGAGATGCCCACATGCATCCCCCGCTCCTGGAGCCCAGGAGGATTTCCCACCTTGGAGATGAGCGTGAAAAACTGGAGCTTCAACATCAGTGACCACCGTGTAGTCCACACACCTATGGGTGGTGACTGAGCCCCCAAACGCTTCTCGTGGGCCCGAGGGACTGTATGTGCAACCTGCTGACTCTGAAGGAATATGTGAAGAATTCACCATGGTATTTTAAATTTTGAGTAGTTAGTAGGAAAATAAACCCTCTTTCCTCACCTCACCCTCCTATTTTTAGTAGCAGGCTTCCTGCTAAGAAAAAAGTGTATTTTTCTCACTATCGAGGGGATTGGTTGTGATCAGAAGACTGGCTCTGCTCCAGGGAGATCATCGGTGTTTGCTGCTCCCTGCGAGATGAATCATGAAGGTCTCCGTTTCCTTGTCTGCCGTGGCTAGATGTGCTCTTGCAAGGGGTAACTCGCGTCTCCCCACACCTGGGTTGGTGCGTGTCTGGGTATCTGCACCCTCACGGTGACGGTCAACCACGGGCCACCTCGAAGGAGAGCGTGCGCTCCCGGCAGCGCGTGCAGGGCCGGGAGGCCGCTTGGGCGGTCGGTGCAGGAGAAGGGAGAGCAGAGCGCGCGGAGCAGCTGTGTGCTGCTTGCCACTGCTCTGCGACCCGAGGTTTCTAAGGAGGGGAACTGAGAGCAGAGATTTCCTCATGTGTGAGCTACCAGTGCTTGCAAGGCCGCTCTGCATTCAGGGATATCAACGGCTGACCTCTGTTAACTGCACAGGCTTAGACTCAGGTCTTTCCTCCTCTATTTGCACCTGATATCTCTTTTCTGGAGTCTCTCTCCGTGGTGGCTTATTGCCTGAGCCGCATTTCCAGCCTCCTTGGGCTTATCTCCATGAGCTGGGTGCTTCACAAATGCAAAACTTCCTATGTAAAACCTGATGGTGGTAGCACTTTTCCAAGAAGTGGGATTAGACACTTGAGAGAGTTAATTTTTTCCATTTGTCATAGTTGGAAAGGATTGTGCTGGTACAGCTAAGCTGCTTAACGCTGAAAAATGCCAAATTAGTAAAAGACCTATCAGCTACAGGCTTGCATGAACTTGCAGTCCCAGAGCATCTGCTGAGGCCTTGCTGAAGCTGAACCACAAACGTTTCTGATAATGGTATTTGCTGCCCTGCTTAGGCAACGATGGGGATAATTTAAATGCAGCTGTAAATCTAAGGTGTCCAGGAACAAAATATTCTTTTTACTGACAATACTGTACCCTGCCGAAGTTGCTGGTGGGTTTCCTGCTTTGGACATTCACAGCACCTTTTCCATCAGGAGTGATGAAGTGTTCCCCACTGCTTTGAAACTCAGAGTACCTCGCAAAGCTCTCCGAAACGGAGCAGATCAGGGACAGTGCCTGTAAGATGTGCCAGTCGCAAGAGCTAGGGTCAACATTGCAAAAGATTCAGGAAATGAAATTTCAGCTAAAGGAGAAAAGAAATCTGGTGTTACTGCCAGGAACTGAACCTTGAGTTGCCTAGAGCAAAGAAAAAAAACATCTTGCTTAAGGGTGTGATGCAACAGGAATAGAGAGCTCGCCAGGAGGCCCAGGAACGCATGGCAGAAGGCAAAGACATAAGTAATAGCCACCTCTCCTGGG